GTACTAAGTCAATACCGGTACCTGATTGGACGGTATCGGTATACCGTTAAGCCGCTGGACAAACGGTGCTGCTATCGGTATATGTGTTACGTCTACTTCCTTAGTTTAACTTTAAACCATTCTGGTTGGTTGGGAACCCTCATCCCGTGTGATGTATCCGGTTTGAGACCCCTCTGATTGGCCACTGTAAATGCCACTCCTCATCTCTCTCAACAGCGCTCTTATTATTGTTGTGAGACTCCCGCAGGCATGGCGGACAGAGCGAAGCGATCCAAGGTCTGGGTGCACTTTAAAAAAATGTAGTGGCGATAGTGCAAGGTGCAATCTATGTACTCAATTAGTTGCTTGTAAAGGGGGTGACACAAGCAACTTAATGAAGCATTTGCAAACGAGACACTCATTGAATCTTAAACGGTGCTAGCGATCTGCTAGTGCTAATAGTGCTAATAGTGCTAGCGGGCTTCAGCTTCGCTGTGTGTAAATGTGACCTGAGCGAAGGCTCGCAGGCAGGTTAGCTGCTGGCATGGGTAATGTGTTTTGTTTACCTGGGTGCAGTCTTGCAGGCACATTGCCTTGTCTTTTTTTAGTTTATTAACACCAAATTATTGAAAAGTATCGATAAGAGTATCGAAAAATACCGATAAGCAGTACCGGTACCGGTATCGATAAAATCCTAACGATACCCATCCCTGCTTTCCTCTAAAACACTAGTGTTTACAAGTTATTGACATTTATCACATGGTTTAGTTGATTACTCGATTCTGATTGGTCAATGTGGAACTTTCAGAGGTAGTACTTGATAACACACCGTCTGCTTCCCGTCGGGCTCCGTGATCACATATATATATATTTATCGCTGCACACGACCCCTCACACACATACACATATATATATATAATAATGCATGACACTTATATAGCGTTTTTCTAGGAACTCAAAGACGCTTCGACAGAGAGTAACACAAAAACCAAGAAAATACGTAAAGAAAAAAACAGAACTAGGGGGAGGGTCAGCGGTTGGTTGAGCAGGTGGGTTTGAGTGAGGGAGGAAGAGGCTCTGATGGGGTGGGGGAGTGAGTTCCATATCACACGTGTGTAAACTGAAGCTAAGGTGTTTTCTTCGTGGTGTTTCGTCCCCTCAGGAGCCCCCTCGGTGCAGAAGGTGATGACCCCCGTCACTCTGTCGGGGCAGAGGTTCACCGTGCAGATCCCCCCCTCCCAGACCACCATCAAGACCAGTAGGAACCACTTTAACACTCATCTGACGTCACAACATGTTTCTGCCTCCAGGTTCAGAGAAAGCTTTGATTCTGTGTTCTCTACAAAGACATTTCTATTCAAAGAATTCAAACAACTTTTCTAAACTCAGACGGTAGATATGGCACCGGGTAACAGCGTCAAATACAAACCTGAACATAGTCCCTTCTAAAAGAATATATGAAATAGAGTGAAAGCATAAAGTATGTTTAAACACACATATATCTAACACACACACCTGTTGTGAGTGAATATATACATTAAAGCCTTTCCTCTGGTGGTCCTGCAACCTACACATGATTTATCTATATATCATATTCCAATTACTTGTAGACTCTTCTTGCACTATTTGATTTTGTTGTTTCATCGACAAATCTACACTATGTACACATAACAATAAAAGTCTTGAATCTTGAATATATATATGAACCCCTCTCCCTCCGCTCCCCCTGCAGCCACGCCCTCCTCTCCGGGAGTCTCTAACGTTCTCATCAATCCGTCGCTCATCGGCTCCAAAAGCCTCCTGATCAGCAGCAGCCTGGCGGGCGGGGGGGTGGACTCGCTGAAGAGGAAACACGAAGACGACGACGACTACGACGCCCTATGACCTCTGAGCACAAACACCCCCTTTTGTATTAAACCTGCTTTTTAAATAACCTCACTGTCCTCCAGGAAACTCTTCAGGAACAACTGTTTATTTTCTACTGAAGGAACCGCCTCATTTATTAAACTGTTAGAATAAAGACTGCCTCGGTGTGCATTTGTTTCATCACACGTCTATCTATTTATGTTCAATAACTATATTTGAAGTCATAGAATAAATAATATTTCAAAAAATAAACGTATAAAGAAATTATAGTTAAGTATTTAAAAATATATTTTGAGGAGTTGAACAAAATTCATTGTCATTATAGTGGGACACATATAACACATAATCTGGAAAGAATATCAAAGCAGAGTTCATCCATACGTCGACCACCAGGAGGGTCTGGACTCAGAAGATAAGTTAAAAAGTTAATCAGCTATCTGTGAATAAATGAAGCTCAGCGCAAGTTCAACCAGGAAGACCGTCTTTACTCATTCATTTACTATTTCTATGTAACTACTCTCTCTCCTCTCAATAAGTGATCGGGGGCGTCACTCCCCAGCTTAACCAATCACTTCTTTCTATTCTCACAAGCCTATCATAGCGCTCCGCTAACCCTTTTAAATCTGCTCCCCCCTCTGACAGCTGTCATTCCCCGGGGTCTAGACCCCGGGGGGTTTCATCGGATCGGTTCTCCCCTCCCGAATGATACTCCTGCACAACGGGGCCTAATCGCCAAAACTCCATTACATTCATTTGTGTATTCCTGGCAATAAATATATATTCTTTCATCAAAAACGGTCTCTCCTGATTGAAATTGGGTTCGACGTAAACATCCGATCTGAACAAGGACCCAAAACAAAAGGCCTCTTTGAGATGTAGTAGTTTATAATACTAGTATAGAATAATCAAAAACAATTCAAAAGTATAGTATGTCATCAAAATATAT